ACTCTGCCATGCAAGTATCAGCTGGAAAAAATAAGTGGTTGTGTTTAGCCTATAAAATTGAATTTTTAGGTGGGACATAGTATTTATCTTCAAGCATTTAAAGGACTATAAGGTAGAAGAGTGATTGGACTTTTTCTGCTTGGTCCCAGAGGGCCTCACTATAACCCATACAGGTAGAAATTGCAGTCACAGATTTAAGGCCCCATGTTAGGGAAATATTGTCTAAAAGTTAGAATTATAAAAAACAAACCTAGAAACAAACTAGATGTTCAATGACAGAATGGCTAAACAAATTATGGAATATAAATGTGATGGAATATTATTGTGTCAGAAAGGATAAATGTGAAGAATTCAAAGAAATCGAAATATTAAGTAATGCAATGATGAAAACAGAAACAAAAGAATATAGACACTAAGTGTAATTATGTAATTAAGAACAATAACAAAAATCCATAGAAAAGACTAAAAAAGTAAAAAAAAGAATGTGAATTACTATAGTGTTAAAGTCAGTATTTTCATCTTTTAGGTTCTTGTTAACAACTCACAAAAAATGGCAATTTATATATATATATGTATATATATATATATAGTCATTTTAGTGCCTTATTTTACATCATTTGGTTTTTATTTTTCTATTTACATATTTGAATATCTGTACTTGTCAATACAAGTTATAATAAAAAAAATTAGATCTGTCCGACAGTGAAATAGGCTGCCTTGGGAGGTAGTGGGCCATCTCTCAGTGAAAGTTTTTGTAAGCAGAGATTGGATGACAACTTTTCAGTCATGTTATAGAGGGAATTTTCATTAGGCTGGAGTTAAAATAGCAAAATTCAGAAATTACCTGATACTAAACCCATGAATTCCATAATACAGTAAGGTACTATATATCCCTCCAGGACTAGGTTCTTACAAGTCCTGCAAAGCTGTGCACTATCTCCACCAATTTTGTTTTGTTTGACGATAAGATCATGACCTTGATGGTATTCATGTGTGATTCTTGCTTACAATTATGCTGCCATGGCCTCCAGACCCTAAATGTTCCCATTTTATTGATAAGAATATTGCAGGAAACTGGATTTTGAAAAAAATAAACTCTAATGTAAATTATTTATGTGAAATGTTTATTGAATGGAACCATTGCTATACAACACAGTTTAACAAACATATTCTATACCTATTGCATCCAAAATACTGTGCTAATTACTGAGGTTACAAATACCTTTGCCCTTTCCCCTTTAGTTTACTGGGCGGTGAAAGAGATGGACTAGATTAGGATTCAAAGGATCTGATATTTTTGCGTTGCTAACTAGCTGTGGGAGCTGTACCTTGTTTTCCTCTTCCGCTACAGATAAGGATTTTGCTAGACTCTTTAGAGGGTGTGGTGAGATTTTAAGCATATGATATTGTTTCGGCTTATTTATGACTGTCTTAGAAATGAGTTTAACTTGGCCCCTTATAAAATCCATTGTCTGCACAACGTTTATTTTTTTATTTAAAACATTTTTTGGGTACATTGACAGCATTATGAGCTTTGGCTGTTCTGTGGGGTTTTTTTCCCCTCTCTCTCTAAAATCATTATTAATTAGAGGCCACGAAAGAAAAAAAAATCAAGATAGCAATCTGGCAAACGTCGAATGACCTGTATATAGATAATGACAAGGGTGAAGAGCAGGGAGAGACAGGTGTAGTCTGAGAAAGCATGGTGAGACTCAGGGAAGGTGGGTATTTGAGCTGGGCCTTAGCAGACATCCTAGGGATGCCCTGACGGATGAAGGAAGACGTATACACTGAAGGCTGGGTTCGCTCCGGATAGGTACTGGGGTAGGTCGTCTTGGGATCTTTCCCCTTTCCCCTACTTCCGGCCTCCCCATTAAAATGTAAGCTCCCTGAGGGGGAACTATCTTTTTCTTAATTGTATCTCCTGTGCTTAAGCTAAAAGCCCGGCCCATAGTAGACATAAATAAATATTAATTGAATTGATAGGAAAGAGAGCTGCGGTAGACAGGAATGCGAGCCACTGTGGGCCTGGAGGGCGGGCAAGGACGAGATGGAGAAGACACGCAAGGGTCGCAGACCCTCATTTCCAGGATCTCGGGACGGCGCCTGCGCAGAGGCGCTGCGTCGGCCCCTCCCGGCCGCATGGGGGCGCTGTCGCCTCCGTGGGTGCGCGGCGGCGCGGCGGCGGCGGCGGCAGCACTTCCGTTTCCGGAGCGCTCCGTCTCCTAGGTCCCCATCTGCCTGGCTCGGCGCCGTTCGCGGGCCTCCGCGTTAGGTAAAGGCGGGGAGGGAAGAAGGAAGGGAACGAAACGAAGAACGGGCGGGGTGACCCGGGGCAGCTTCTCGCGCTGCCGCCTCCTCTCCTCAGCGGCCCAACTCGTTGGCAAGGCGCCGGCGCGTGGCCTTTGGAGCGAGAGCTAGTGGAACAGGTGACCCTCCCACCTGGTGCGGGGAAAGTGATGAAGAAGGGGAGGAGGAGGCTGAGGGGATATGGTCTCTTCCGTCCACGTGACGCATCGGAAGCGTGCCCGGGCCGCGTTCCAATCCCGGCGCTGCTGTTTCTTATAGATTCGGGACTGAGGGTTTGAGGTCGTGTACTGCCACGCCGCCCTTGTTTTGTAGTTGAGGAAACCACGGCCGCTGAGAGTGGTTGAGTGACTTGTCCACGGCCCCCAAGTCAAGAAGCAGAATCTAGGGCCTCCGACGCCATAGCCGGAGCGCTCCCCACTCTACTTTGCTCATCAGTAAAACGAGGGTATTGGACTAGATGACCGCTAAAGGGCCCAATTCTAAAGTCAGTGACCCTGCGTGTGGGTCCCCTCCTTTGTCTTGTGGTGTGGATGCTCCGATTCCCTTCTCTGGAGGTGATGGCATGGGGTGGGAACTTTGATGTAATTACTCTTCCCCCTCACCCCCCATACCCAGTAGTCCTTAGTTTTAGTGTAGCAGATATCATTTGCACACCCACTGTACCACTGCATCAGGCGTTAGAGTTGCAAAGACAAAAAATGAAAATGGTCCCATCCCCAAAGAATTTACATTGTCCTTGGAGGAGTTGGTACGCGAGCTAAGAACTGAAGAAAGGATTCAGAGATCGAGACTTCATAGGCTTGCATTCCACGTGGAGGCCAGCTTGGGGGCTTAGAATGTCAAGTTTGGGAGATAGCTGGTAAGCCAGTTTGACTGGAATGTGAGCATTCTTGAAGGGCAGTAACGAGACTTAAGGCTGGAAAGAGAAGTTGGAGCCAGATTGTGGAGGGAAGAGGTGAAATCGAGGAGCACGTTCTGGAGGCATGAGGGAGTCAGTAAAGGTTTTTGAGCACAGAGGTAGGGGTCAGACTTGTAGGAAGATTTTTTTTTTTTGCACTTGTCTGGGGAGATTGGAAAAGAAAGGGAATAGAAGCAGGGAGACCAGTTAAAAGAGAGTAAAATATGAGAGAAGGCTTGAACAACTGGGTGGTTGAGTGGAGAGTAGGGGAAGGTTAAGGTGGAGGACAAATAGATAAGACCTGGCAACTTATTGGATGCTGTACTGGACAAAGAAGATAGAATCAAGGATGACAGGTTAAAACTGGGGAGCTCGAAGAAAGAACAGAGCGTCAGTTTTGTTTTAGATGTATTAGCTGAGATACCACTGGGAGGCACAGGTACGTAATTGAATATGAAGTTGGCAACATATAGGTTGCAATTTAATTTACTAAGCATTTATATAGGACCTATTATGTGTGTCAGGCACTTAAACTTGCTTGAAGACCTTTATTGAGGAAGAACCTACTATATCCTCGCTCTCCAGCCCATTCCTCTTTTGGATAGCTCTAATAGTTTTTCTTTACTCAACTCCAAATTTATCTTTTTCTAATTTCTGCCCATTGCTTCAGGTTCTGCCATCTGGAGTTTGTTTATACAAAAAAGAGTGCAATTCCTTTTCTATATGAAAAGGATCCTTTAAATATTTGAAGACAGTCATCATGTCTGTCTTCCATTCCTTTCATTAACCAATTTGAGAGTCCTCTGCTTAATTGGACAGTTTGGGAAAGCAGGTGGATGATCCAATAAAGAAGACTAATAATGATCAGATAAGTAGGAGGAAGACAAGAAGAGAACTGTGTCACAGAATAAGGCTTTCCTGGTCTCTTCTCCACCTCTAGAAATGTGTGCCGTCCCAAACTACCTGGAATTCATTTTGTATGTATCCTAAATATACTTTTTGTCTTCCTCCATTACAATATAAGATCCTGAGGGCAGAGACCATTTCACTTTTGTCTTTTTTCCACAGCTCTACAAAGTCCTAAGCTGCAGAGAAGTCAAGGAGGATGAATACTGAGAAAAGGCCATTGGAGTTAGCAGTTAAGAGATTGCAGGTTGAGAGCAGTTTGAGTAGAGTGAAACCAGAAAACAATTTGAGAGGGGTTTAGAAGTGAGTGGATGGTATGGTGGTGAAGGTATTGAGGCTATTCTAGTCTTCTTCCGGCTGGTGAGGGTGGGCCTGGAATAGACTATCCATACATCAGAGCCATAATTCTTTATAAGGAGGTTGTTTATAGCAGAGCTTCCCTTTTTGCGTTTCAGCAGCATTTGCTTGGCCTGAGGGCATGCACAGTGCAAAGTGGCATGCTTTGTGTTTAGAATCAAGGCTGCAGGGAAGTTGTACCATGCAGCATGGGCAAGCACTGCCAGAAACACCTCCGATTCATTACAAGTTTGATTTTTAATTAATTTTTGGTTGTTCATTCAGAAACGTTTTACTGTTGTCACATTTTTCTGCAACCCCATATGGGGTCGAGACCCACAGTTTAAGAAGTGCTGATTTACAGCATGAAATAATTTCTGAAGCCTTCAGATCTTTTTTAGCTTAAAATTCAAATCAGCAGCCCTTTGCCTTATTTATGAGGACTTCTGGTGTCAGCTTGAATACACAAGTATCCTCTGGAAGCCAGACTTTAAAGCTGTTTTAGTTGGCATAGACAGCAACATATAACTCAGTTTTTTATTCTTCAGGAAGAAACTCCAAACCGGATAAGAAGAAAAGATACAAGCCATGTTTCAAAGACCTGTTTTACAGGTAACTTTCTTTCCATCACAGTCATGGGATCATTTGCTGTCTGAAATGTTTAAAAAGTTAGAGCACTTTTAAACTGTCACTTTGATGGGGCAAAAACCCCTCTTAGACAGGGGTTTTTAACCTGAAGTTCAGAGACTCCTGAGGGGACTGTGAGAATGTGGTAACAGTTAAGGAGTAATCTGTGATCTCTACCAATGCCCTCAGAATGTGACAAGACAATTTGGGTGCTACATGGGACAATAGCCATCATCTGTACTGTGTAGGGCTTGGTGGGGGGGGGGATGGCGTCTCCCACCTTTCACTTAGGTGTGTGATAGACTCAACTTCTCTCTAAATTCGACTAGCTCTCCCCACCTACACTCACACTATCTGGTCTAAGTTCCCAAAGGCAGACCAGCACCACATGGTTATACTCGTACTCTCTCAGAGTCCTAGGGGATTTCTCTTCTTCACTACTCTAGCTCTCGAGCCCCCATCCAGTACATTTTCTGTCTGTATAGCCTTCTACAGTATTGACACTTCTGGATCTGAAACATAACCTTTTGCTTAATAATAAGGCAAAAGAAATAATAATGGATTGCTCTCTTCCACCAGTTCATTTAAATGTGATGAAGAGTGGATACATGCAGCAGCCTAGAAGAGAAGCATATCAGGGAAAGAAACAAGTGATTGGTGCAGCACTGCAATAGGCTGCAGGCTTCAGTGTCATGGCTCCATTCGGGAACATTTGTATTACATGGAATGGCTTTTCTGCTAATGAGCTTCACTTCTGACCCTCACTACTGTTCAGCTGGGGGAAATCCTCCTTGACTGGAAAACAGCCTGGGCAAACTTTTTCATCAGAGTAGTAGAGGTAGTCTAGTAGACCCCATATGGGGTCATGGTGCGCAGTCTAAGAAGCACTGAAGGGATTGCAAATGGAAAAAGTTAAAGAAGCCCTGCCCTAGGCTATACAGACCAGCCTGGGCAGGACCAGGGTGTTGTGCTGTGCAACCAGAACCTGTGCTGTGCAGTTATAGCCTAGCTCACACAGTTCAGCCCAGTTCATCTTCCTTCTTAAACCAGCTCTTCTGGATGTTGTAACAGCCAGGAACCCCACTGCTTCTCCTTCTCAAGCCCAGGGGCTCCAGAGAGCAAAGCCCATAGGAAAAGCTTCGCCTTTATCTAGCTGTAGGTAAAGCTGAAGGGCAGTAGCTGTGGCTGCAGCTCCTATGCAGTGATGTCAGCTCTCTCTGACCAGTCATGAGTTCCGTGGAACCTTCTCTGCTAACTCTCTTTGAAGCTCCAGCTGAGCTTCTCGGCACCTCCCCCTCCCCTTCTTTAGTTCCTCTCACCTGCTGTTGCCCTCTCTTGTCTTCCTTGTACTGAAGTGTTTTTAAATGAGAGCCTTCTGACTCTCAGTGGCTCACCTTTTACTGAAAAAGTCACACCTTTCCAAGTCAAGTCAACAGACCTTTTTGAGTCGTATCTCAACCTCCATATGATTATGTGATTTCTAATTATCTTAGTTTTGTACTCTTTAATCATAAATCATGTATGTACAAATGTGATGAGGTACCTGTTATGTGTCTTTTTAAGTCTTCAACAAAGCAGTCTCTGTCTTTGATACCTTTGAAATTGTTTCTTCACACTCATGTTTTTCTAGTTTTTCATAAATAATAGATCTTTCTCAGTCTTTATGATATCAAATTGTTTCCATACAAACAAGACATCATTCCACATTGTTAACAAAGAGTTCTCTATCACTTTTTTTTGGCGAGGCAATCAGGGTTAAGTGACTTGCCCAAAATCACACAGCTGGTGCCAAGTGTCTGAGGCTGGATTTGAACTCAGGTCCTTTTGACTCCGGGGCCAGTGCCCTAGCACTGTGCACCTAGCTGCCCCTTAACAAAGAGTTCTAAGCCCTGGAACCCAAACTATACATCTTCTCTTCAGAACTGTGCAAAATCCTGTCTGAAAGTAAGTTTTTTCATATATTTTAGCAGTTAGTAGTGAAACAGTGTTCATTTGCTACTCATATTAGACATCAAAGTATCCATCCCTAATGGCAGCAATGTGCAGCTTCATTTGACAAGCAATATAAATATTTCAGAGCACTTTTTCTGCTCTTTTTATAAACTACTGCATATGAAAATAGCTTAAGGAGACTGTACCAAGGGGGGGAAATTACATTTTCATGTTCACTAACAGAGGCTCTGATTAAAATTTAGCATTTCCTTCAGTTATTTAAAAAATATTATTCTGAGGATTCCATAGGTTTCTCCAGCCTACCAAAGGGATCTGTAACACAACAAAGTTGTGCCTTGTGTTATTTCTCTTAAATGTTCACATTTGCTGAAGGACTTTCGCCTGAATGATCACTATTCCATTTAAAAATAGCCAGTTATGTATTGTTTTAATGTCAGTTCTGAAGTGGAAGATTAATTTAAAAAAAAACACCAAAACTCCACTTGTCTTGATAGGGTAGAGTGACTTGGATTTTCAATCTGCTGGCAGAATATCTCAGAGCTCTTGAGGACTATAGTTGTTTGAAAATTAGACTTTGGAGAATCACGAATCAGGATCTAAGCTTTGTGCATATGTGTTGTAACTTTTGACCCAGTAGACTACCCAGCATATCACTTATCTGTATCTCTTTTTAAAAATCAGATTTGTGTATTTGGTTAGTTGTTAACACACACACACACACACACACACACACACACACACACACACACACACACACACACACACACGGTATAATGTACCTTAAGCATATACTGGGATATATTCTAATATCCTAGAAATAGAGCAGTCCCAAGACTGTCCCAAGACTGAGCTCTAAGTAAAGCAGATTTCTTATCTAAATTTTGTATCCGCTCCAGTGTCTTGCATTCTGTTTAGAGTAGATACAGATGATGATAATAGAGAGGAAAGGGAAGAGATTCACAACGTTTTCTATTTTTTCTTCTTCCCTTCTGAAGGGAGTGGAGCATGAAGTGCATTGGGGTACAGAGTTGAATTGGGAGAAGTTTTGTGGCCATCCTAACCAGACCAGATGATATATTAGCCTTTAGTCATTTACAGCAATGATTTTTCTGGTGGTGGGCTAGCTGCCTGGAGCAAAATTGCCAGTTTGTCTTTGTTACCTGTCCCCTTTTATGAACTGCTCTCCTACCACCAGCTTTCTTTTGCCATGTCCTGGGTGAGGGTAGGGGAAGGGAAAAAACATTCATTAACTGTCTCTTATGTAGTGGGCACTGTGCTAAGCATTTTTAAAAGTTATCTCATTTAAACCTCACAATAGTCCTGCATAGTAGGTACTATTATTATCCCCATTTTACAGTTGAGGAAACAGGCAAACAGAGTTTAAGTGACTTCCAGTTCAAACCGCTACTAAGGTCTAAGTTTGGGTTTGAGCTCAAGTCTTCCTGACTATAGGCCCAGTGCACAATTCATTGTGCCACGAGCTGCCCAGGCTCCTCCTGGTGTCCTTGTGCTACCTTCTGGCTGACTGAATGGTTCTGTCCTTACCTTTTCTGAAATTTTTGCTCCTTGCTCTGCCCTATCCCTTTCCCATTCAAAAAAGCTGTGCATCTGATTAAAGTAGTTTACATTCAGGTATGAATGATGTCTCTCTCTCCTGGGATTGTTTATTTTAGGGGGCCTGGCATTTTTCCTGCCAAGTGGTGAAACTTATATACAGTTTGTATATGAAGCTGCTGTGATTACCCCCCCCCCATGCTGTGCCAATAATTAGCTTAGCCATATGACCTAAAAAGAACTCTGACCATATGGGAATCCAAGAAGAATTGGACAGAGTCAAGGGCTGTCTTATTCTGGTGCTCTCTTTTGCATTCTTAGGGACATTTAAGTACATAACTAGGTCTTGTGATGAGGTAGTTATGCCCTTGGAGAAAGTGAAGATTTAGTCTCTTTGTGATAAACAGGGTACCTTTGCACATATAATAAATTATTTTGAAATTTCATTCTGTAATTTTTTTTAGTCAGTTAATATGTTATAGACAATTACTTTTTGAGTTTGTTTAAAGCAACTTATTGCTTATTTTAAAAGACATCTCGGTGAGCAAATATCCTCTTTTCTTTGCTACTTGTTTTGTTTGTTCTTTCTGGAAATTAAAGCTATCCTATTGTTTTTCCTGTTTAGGTACTTCGTCAATTTGCAAGACATTACTCTGAAGGAACTACCAGTTTAGTTCTTGAACGATGTAAGTAGATGATAGCTAAGGTTATAAATTATATATGTAACCTTAAATTTAAAGATTAAATTAAGCGTAAGTTCTTATATACATATATATTTGATATATATAACACATATAACATGTTTATGTATGTATATATGTGTGTGAAGACATACGTACATACGTACATACATATATAAACTTAAATTTTTCTGTTAATTTATTTGTCTATGACAAATGACCTATGAATTCTTTCATTGACTTAGGTTTTGTGTCTGAACCAATGATCTCATCCACTGGGGAATAGATTTTTAGCCAGAGTGGTCCTTAGAGAGCATCTAGTCCAAACCCTTCATTTTGTAGATGAGGAAATAGGTGTCACTAAGGTAGGATGGGCCTCCTCAGCAGACATTTCTGAGTCTGCTCTTTTTCTGCCAGATAACTTCCTATTCCTCTATTGAGTGTAATCAATTTAGAGTTCAAGCTCCCTGAAAAGTTTGAACTTAAGAGGAGGTGATAAAGGAAAGCGCATACATAAAAGTGAACATACCTTGAAGAGGATATCCACTCTTCTATCTTCCTTCTGCACAAGTAAAAGAGAAGTAGGAGAGAGGAATGGAAGTCCTTGAGATTTGCTGGTGTTGGAAGAGTGGTTTAGGCATTAGCCAAAGTGCTTATCAAGTATCTACTTTCCTCTTTGCCTGTAATTTGGCTTTTCCTTGAGATGTTAAACTTAACATCACCCAGGGATTCTCAATAGGGAAATCATAATCAGCTACAAACTTCATTGTAATCAATTGCCAATCACTGGACTACAGCTTCTAGGCAGCATTTGGAATACGAAATACTAGCATCTTTAGGGATGGGGGGGTGGGGGGAGAGAGGAACAAGGATGGCCATCCACATGCCATTTCCCCTGAAGTTCTTAAGCATTTAAAATGGTCTGACAGTTCTAGGGAAGTAGACTGATGCCCATGATATACTGTAGTGCATTTCAAATGGATGTGGGCTGAAAAGGATGTGTTATTGGAGGCTTGGCATGTATGTGCCTTCCAGCATTTTCAGGGAGAGAGGGAACATGTTCAGATTAAGTCAGACTTGAGATAGCAGTGGATATCTGCCTTCTCCCTGCCCTGTATTTTCCAACATGAACTCCTTGTCAAAATTCTCCCCAGTACTTGGGTCAATCACAAGGCTTCTTCCTTGTAGCTAAAGTCCTGTAGAACCTGTGCTTCGTGAGGGCAGGCTGATGGGCATCTTTGGTCTAATTCTACTTGGTCTTAGTGGTGACATCAGCAACATTTCAAATGTCTACTGATAAAAGTCTGTAGCCCAGGGATTAGTATTTGATCACATTGGAACTTGTCATCGACCAGTTATTCTTATTGCATGTTTGGGTTCCTGCTCTTCTTTTCCTTTGCTTTCTTGGCTTGATGGGCCTGAAATCTTAAGTTGTAACATTAGTGGAGGAATAAGAGGTTGTTTTGTAGAAGTAGGGCAGACTTTCAGAAATTTCTAGCTTGTTAGTGATGGAGTAGTGCCAGAGGAGATAATTGGATTTGAAATCAGTGGCCCGGGGTACAAATCCTAACTTAGCCGCTTACTACTTGTATCACTGTGGGAAAGAATTAATTTCACTCTGGTTCTGTTTCTTTATTTGCAAAAGGGAGGACAGTGGACCAGATGACTTTTCTGATACTTTCTGGCTCCTGTGAAATCTTGTTTTATAGGAAACATGGCAAGTGGGAAAAGAAAATAAGTTTAGAAATCCCTCTGTTACTCAGCATAGTTTTATAGATAACTAGCTTTTTTTGCCTTATTAAACAAAGTATGTTTTACTTTTTATTTGAAAATTCATGGCCATTGTTGTGAACATAATTTATTCTATAGTGATACAGATGTGGAAGGTGTGGGATGCTGAACTCAGTATGTACCCAGGATGTATCCTAGAAATTAGTTTTTTTTTTAATTATATTTTGTTTTTATGTAATCAGCAAAAATCTCCCTCCTCTTCCTTTTTCTCATTGAAATAAAGCACTCAGCTGCAGTTTGACCTTGCCAGTGTAATGTTCTTGCAATTCTGCAATCATGTGTAAATATCTGTTTTTTAAAGTTTATCCCTTCATTTCTAGGTAACAAGCTGCCTCTGAGGCTTTATTCTGGTGCCAGTAATCAGTGTTCTGAAGTCAGAATCTATTCTCCACTTTTTTCCCCAAGCATTGGTTTGACCGACTTTGCCTCACCTTCCATTTTGGAGTGGTGAAATGGATAGAGGGCTAGGCCTGGAATCAGGAAGACCCGAGTTCAGATGTGGTTTTAAGACACTTACAAGCTTTGTGACCCTGGGCAAGTCTTAACCTCTGTCTTCTTCAGTTACTTCAACTATAAAATGGGGATCATAATAGCACCTACTTCCTAGGGTTCTTGTGAGGATCCAATGAAATAATATTTGTAAAGCTGTTAGCAACGTATATGGCATATGGTTCCCTTCCCATTCCCCCCATTAAAGTATAGTGAGATTTAGTTCTCTTGTTCTTTGGAGTATTTCTCCCAGGTTAAGGTTTTGATTTTTCAATTGTACATTTATCTTTGTTTTTTATTTCAGCTCTTAATCGTGTCCAGTTACTTGGAAGAGTGGGTCAGGATCCTGTTCTGAGACAGTCAGAAGGAAAAAATCCAGTCACAATCTTTTCTTTGGCCACAAATGAGATGTGGCGATCAGGGGAAAGTGAGACATCTCAGCAGAGTAAGTTTTAAAGACTTTTGGGTGAACCAAATATGTTTATTAATTTGTTGCCAATGGGTATTTGATGATAGATAGGATTTTTATGGGAGTTTACATCTTATTTATAAGACACTTTTCTTCCCTATATGTACATTGTAATCTTATGTGAGTAAACTGAAGGACCTGATTATTTTCAAAGGTGACCCCAAATTTTATACCATTTTTTATACAGTGACTTCCTTAAGACAGGTTGGATAATACTTTTCCTTATAGAGACAACTTGTGTGTTTTTTTATTCTGACGTGAATAAAGATTAAATGCACATTTCCACATACATAGGATAACAGAAAGAGAGGATTGTATATAAAAATGCAAATCTCTTTTTTTGCTTTTCTTTTTAAGTAAGTTCAACCTATTGTTTTAAAAACTCCTGTTTGCCTGTGCTTCTTTCTGGCCTTTTGTTCTCCTCTGTACATTTTTTAAAAAGATGCCTCGGTGACCTCTGATTTCTTTTTTAATCTACTCTATTCCTGGCAATGTACTATACATGCATCCTCTAAAGCACTGGTTTCCAAAGTTGTATGATCTTTTGGGATGCACAAAGAAAGTATGAGAACCAAGGAGAGCAGCCCAGTTATTCAGCATGCTGTCTGCCTCTGCTGCTCTCTCCCTCTTCCTAAGTACATGGTGGGCTGCTGCCCTGGATGGTCTGCTGTCCTGGTTCCTCCCCTGGTCAGTCTTCAGGCAGTCCATTCTTGATCTGGCTTAGCTTCATCTTCCTTCCTCCTTTCTCTTCATGAAGACAGAGGCCAGTCATTCCCTTCTTGGCCCCCTTGTGCCCCTGCTTCCACCCTATATAGATGGTGTGCCGGCACATGGACTTCCTACTACCCAGCTGTGAAAACCCTCCTCCACCTGCCCCCAACAAGGAAGGGCTCAGCCATAGATAATTAGCAGGAGTGGAAACAAGCAGCAGCAAGAGTCAGAGGCTGTGGCAGTGGGCTTGAGGCTCACACAGTTCTTTCAGATCTGTAACATTGTTCCAAAGGCTGCCCCCATTACCCTCATTTCAGTCCCACCAGACAGTTTGGAAGCAGATGAAAAAGGCACATGTTAAAAGGATTTGGTTTTTTGTTTTTTTTAGTGAGTGGGGAATAGAAAGAAGAGATTACATTTCTGTTCATTAAAAAAAGGAATTTTTTTAAAGTAGCCCAATTTCAACAAAAACCTTTACATAACTGGTGGATGGAATTGAAAAATAAGTAGCATATTTTTGCAAGCATATCTAATTTTGCTCATACTTGGATCCCTTATTTTTACGAATTTTGCTATAGTAGCCATTAAAAGCAACTCTAGAAATAAACTCGACATAGATTTTTTGAATCACTGTAATCACAGTGTCAGACTAAAATAAAAAAATAATAGTACGTTCACATTGCTCTCACTGAAATCATTTTTTTAGTGAGAGCAAAAAGATTTTTTGTAGTATTAAAAACAAAAAGAAATTTAAAAAATATTATTTCAGCTTTATCTTTCAAAATGTTTATTTTGCATATATTTTATAATATACATGATGTTAATACAGTAGATGTATTATATAATTTATGAATAAACATACATATAAGCAGCTGTGTACCCAAAAATCGACTGATGGTGGTGTGAAGTCAAAAAATTTTAAATACCACTGAGAACAGGTTTTAGGTTCAGAGCAACTTATCATTACAGTTTACCACCAAGTAGTCATTTCTTTTGTCCAAAGCTATTCATGACAGCTATCTGCTAAGAGAAGTTTTGTCCAGGTTGGTGGAGAGTTCATATTAAAAAAATTGGTTATTGAATTATTGAATCAAGACAGAAACACTGTTTTGTTTAAACTTGTTTTTCATTTATCATGTTAGTTGCTTGCCTTTTGGTAAATAGTCCTTTGCACTTCATCAATGCTACTCACCTGAGCATCTTGAAAACTTACGAGTTAAATAATTTTATATGTATACTGGTGGTATATTATTAACAGGACTCAGGAATTTGGACCTAGTCTGTGTAGTCATCCTAGGCAGCAGGACCTAAAAAGAACCTTCTCTAGTTTGTTTAGTTAGGAATAATTACAGGGATTCTACTTTGTGTGGTATCTGCTAATGTTTTTACTCCTCTTTGTAATCTAGGTGATGTCAGCCAAAGGACCACATGGCACAGAATATCAGTTTTCAGGCCAGGCCTGAGGGATCTGGCCTATCAGTATGTGAAAAAAGGGTAGGTAAAGAAAGGAGGACGTATGGGAAGGATTAAATGCCTTCTAGCGTTGAGGACAAAAACATCTTACTTTAAGGAGATTGTAAGAATCATGTAGTTGAAGAAAGAGTTTAAATCTTCAGGGATGAGATAGTTCCATAATTTTTTGTTGATGTATCTTATTTTGAGGCATAAATCGAGTCCCAGTAAATTCTTTCCTAGGACCTTCCCATAAAAAAGCTAAGCAAAACTGCCCACTGATGTAACTTTCCACTTTTCCACCCTTGTAGTTTGCCTTTTCTTAGCACAAAGCATGTTTACCTTGGAAGCAAAACTGTGCTTTCAGTTTGAACTGAATTTCTTCTGTTGTCATCTTTTATAATTTTTGTCATTGATGTGTTATTTTGGTTCTGTTTTCTTCTCTCTGCATCAGTTCATATACTGTCTTTCATGTTCCTGTTCTTCATATTTCTGTTCTTTACAACATGATAATATCTCATCACATGTATATATGTAGATCTGTGTACGTACACACACACACACACACACACACACACAGCTCAGCCATTTCTCATTTGTAGGGCATTTAATTTATTTCCAGATTTTTGTTAATATAAATAGTACTTCTATAAATATTTTGGTCAAGTGGCATTTTTTCCCCTTTTAATTAATTTGTTTGTTTTTAGTTTTCAACATTCACTTCCACAATATCTTGAGTTCCAAATTTTCTCCCCATCTCTCCCTTCCCTCCACCCTAAGACAGTGTGTATTCTGAATATCCCTTCCCCTGATGTGTCCTCCCTCCTCTTCTCTCCCCTCCCCCTTCTCTTATCCCCTTCCCCTTCTGCTTTCCTGTAGGGTGGATATATTTCTATACCCCAGTGCCTGTATATCTTATTTCCCAGTTGCATGTAAAAATTCCCTCCCTCCCCACCCACCCTCATTGAGAAGGCAAGCAACTCGATACAGGTTATATACATGTGTAGTCATATAAAACATTTCCATAATAGCATGTTGTGAAAAACTAACTTTATTTCCTTAATCCTATCCCACCCCCCATTTATTCTGTTCTCTCCTTTGACTCTGTCCCTCCTCAAAAGTGTTTGCTTCTGATTACCCCCTCCCCCAATCTACCCTCCCTTCTGTCATCCCCCCTTCTCTTTCCCCTTCTGCCCTATTTTCCTGTAAGGTAAGATAGATTTCCTTATCCAGTTGAGTGTGTATGTTACTCCCTCCTTAAGCCAGATCCAGTGAGAGTAAGATTCATTCATTCTCTCTTTTCTCCCCCTTCTTCCCTTCCACTGTAAAAGGTTTTTCTTCCTACTTTTATGTGAGATTATTTACCCCATTGTACCTCTCCCTTTCTCAAGGGACACTTCTTTATGTCATTGACCTCCCTTGGCACATAAACCTAATAGTGGAACCACTGGATCAAAGAGTATGGACGGTTTACTTCACTCTTATATAATTCCAAATTGTTTTGTAGAATAGTTGGACCAATTTGCAGCTCAAGCAGTTATATATTAATATGACTTTTCCCACAGTTCTCCCACATTGACTGTTTTTATCATTACTATTGTGACTAGCTTCAAGTCAGGAAGATCTGCATGCAGATCCTTCTGGACACATCTGTGTGAATATGGTTCAAGTCATTTCACTTCTTAGTGCCCCAGGCCACTCTCCAAGACCATAATTACGCGTAAGGGGCTAATCTGTAGTAGTGGAGAGTTTTTCCACACTGGTAGTTCCCCTTTAAAGTGAAATCAGAGGTCCAACCCCATTGTCACCCCCAAAAACTCCAACCATCTTTGACAGCTTGATGAGTATAAAGTGGTACCTTAGAATTGTTTTAGTTTTCATTTCTTTAATTAATGATTTAGAGAATTTTTCATACAGTTGCTGATGCTTTGAATTTCTTCTTTTGAAAACTTTATATCTTTGACCAGATGGGAAATGACTTTTTTGACAAATACCTGAGTGTCTTTTCTGTGTTAGGCTCTCTGCTTTGTGTTATGGGGGATACAAAGCTGAATAAGTTAGTCTCTCCCAGTCTGAGGGTTGCAGTTTAATTGGGGACATAGAACATAACGTGCATTAAGGACTTCTGTACTAGTACAAGGGATGTCATGGAGGTGGAAAGAAAAAAAAGAGGGAAAATGAAACATGTTTCAGTAAATATTTATTTGCTAAAATCTCAGGGAAATTTTTTTTTATCTCAAGAACAGATAATTTTTTTAATACTAAGGCAAACTCCTTTTTAAGAGAGAACTCCAGAAATTCTTGGCAGGAGTAGTATGTATTTGTACTTGACTGAAACAGTCAATGAACAATTATTAAGTACCCTCTAAGGGCAGGCTCTGTGCTAGGCTCTGGGGATAAGTATAATGAATAAGACAGTCCTTACCTATAAGGAGTTTACATTTTAATGGATAACCAAATATAGTTATGTTAATGTATGTGGAATTACTTTCACATTTAGCCGTTTATGCAGATTCAGGTATTCTAGGGATGTAGGGGAGAGGCTGTGTTGTCTAATAGCATCTTCATACTTGTGTATTGTCTCTGACTTTAATCACCAGCCAAACTCTTGTGCTTGTTTTTGTTAGATTTTGTTTGCATATGTACATGTTATCTATTTGTGTCATCCTGGGCTGCTTATATCACTGTCTGCTGTTAGGATTTTAGTGAGCATGACTTATTATAGAATTGCTATACTTTCAACAGCGAAGTTGAAATAGTCATTTGGTAAATTACTTCCTTATAATCCTAATCACAGAATTTAGGGTCAAAAGGGAACTTTAAGCTCAGCTAGTTTAGTTTATGGTATATTACAGTGTAAACCCTAGAGAAGATTTAAAGTAGCATATTTAACACTTTATTTTAAGTGTCAGCAGCTTTATTTCCCTTTTTTTTTTTAAAGGCGCAGAAGAGGGGAGGAGAGGGTTTAGGGGGGAAGATAATGAGTTTTGGACATGTTGAGTTTAAGGTATTGGACATCCATTTTGAGATGTCAAAAGGCAGTTGGAGGTCAGCAGAGAGGTTAAGGTGGGATAGGTAGATATGAAATGGACAGAAATAAGATGGTAATTAAATCCATGGGAGCTGATGAGATTACCAAGTGAAGTAGTATAGAAGGAGAAGAGAAGAGGGCCCCGGACAGAACCCTCTGGGACACTTATGGTTAGAGAGTGTGATCTGGATGAGGATCCATCAGAGGAGATGGAGAGTGTGTTTTGATAGGTAGTAGAAGCACCAAGAGAGAGTGCTGTCCCCAAAACCTAGAGAGAAGAGAGTATCAAGGAAGAGAAAGTGAGCAACAGTTTCAAAGGCTACAGAGAGATCAAGGAGAATGAGGATTTGGTAACTAAGAGATCATTAGCAACTTTGGAGAGAGGAATTTTGGTGGAATGATGAAGTCAGTAGTTGAGTTGTAAGGGTTAAGAAGAAAGTGAGATGAGAGATAATAGATGCACCTCTTATCCACAGCCTTTTCAAGGAGTTTAGCCACAAAGGGTGGAAAAGATACAGGATAATAGTTTGTTGGGTATAGATTAGATTCAAATGAGGATCTTTTTCAGGATGGGGGAGAAATGGGCTTGTTTGTAGGCACTATGGAATGAGCCAGTAGCCAAGGAGAGATTGAAAATAAGTGATAGAAATTGGGCATGCAACTAAAAGAACTAGAAAAAGAACAAATTAAAAACCTCCAATTAAATACCAAATTAGGAATTATGAAAATCAAAGGAGAGATTAATAAAATTGAAATTAAGAAAACTTTTTTAAACTAATAAAACTAAGAGCTGGTTTTATGAAAAAACTAATAAAATAGATAAACCTGTGGTTAATTTAATTTAATAAAAGAAAGAAGAAAACCAAATTAAGAGTATCAGAAATAAAAAGTGAATTCACCACCAGTGAAAAGGAAATTAAAACAATAAATAGGAACTGTTTTGCTAAACTGTATGCCAATAAATTTGACAATCTTGGTGAAATGGATGAATTTACAAAAATATAAATTGCTCAGATTAACAGAAGAGAAAGTAAAATACTTAGATAACCCATCTTGGAAAATAAGTAATAAAGCAGGGATGACAGAGGGGGCAATCTATTGGAGATGGGATGGAATGGAATTGCCCCAGCAGCATTAGCCTTGGTAAATAATAAGGCCACCTTGTCATGTGAGATAGGGTGAAGGAAGATTTTAGATAGTGGTAGAAGGCATATGTGTGATTTGAGATAAAGAAGAGGGGAGAAAAGGGAGCTCATGGGGAATAGCCTCAGTTTTTTCTGTAAAATATTAGGCAAGACTCTCAGTGGAGAGAAAGGGGAGAGGCAAACCATGGGACATATTTGTAGGGATGAAAAGGTTTGGAAAAGGTGTTGGTGGATAGTGGAATTAGTGAGTTGGTAAAGGAGGTATGGTAGGATTGTCTAGCAGCAGTGAGCGCCCAGTAGAGGTTATGTAACATAAATTTGTAATGGACCCAGTCATAATGGGCACATGCTTTTTCCTCCTTTGTTTCAGCAGATCATGTGTAAGAGCAAAGGCAGTGAATGGTGGGAATGGTCCAAGGCTAAGGCATGGTGGGGTGTAATTGTAGATATAATAAGGGGGCTATGGAGTTGTGAAAACAGTGTATAGTTGAATTGGTTCACTAAGGGGTCAAGATGGAGAAAAAAGAGGAGAGAATTGCTAGTGGAGATGGCCAGGAAGAGTAATGAGGGGTTGAGGATTCGAGGTCCACAGTACAGCAAATAGTAGGATTTGATAAGGGAAGGTAGAGAAAGAGGTAAAAAGCCAATACATTATGGTCAGGAATTCTTGACAATAGAAGTGATACATTTGTGGGTGATGGCAAGATCAAAGATATGACCATTTTTGTGTGTAGCTGAGATGGGGTAGAGGAATAGGCCATGGGAAGTAAATAGGTTGAGGATCTGAATGGTTAAGGTGTTTCATGGAGAATCAGTAGGTATGGTAAAGTCCTCTAGTGTGAGGGCAGGAGGTAGGACAAAAAAATTTGTGACTCATATACTGAACTAAGGAAGGAAGAGGAGTGCCCTATAAGTCACTAGAATTTTTATTTATTTTTTTTGTTTAGTCAACTCTTCATGACCCCATTTGGTGTTTTCTTGGCAAAGATACTGAAGTGGTTTGTCATTTCCTTCTCCAGCTCATTTTACAGATGAGAAAACTGAGGCAAACAGGGTGAAGTGACTTGCCCGGGGTCACATAGGTAGTCAGTGTTTGAGGCCAGATTTGAACTCAGGAAGAAGAGTGTTCCTGACTCCAGGCCTGGCACTGTATCTACTATGCCACCTAGCAGCCCCAGGTATGAATAGCATGAACCTCAAAGGAAGAGAGGTCACTGTGTGATGTATTGGTAGGGTGAGAACCTGGAAGTGGCAGTGGGTGAAAGGAGTATTCTGTCTCTCCTGCCTCTACCAGTGAGCTGAGGGGAATGACTGAAGGTGTAACCAGGTACTTAATAAATGTTAATTGAATTAAATTAAGAGGTCTTTGGTAACTTTGGAGAAGACAGTTTCAGCTGAAGGGAATGTTGCAAGCCAGATTGCAAAGGATTTAGAAGAGTGAAAGGAGAAGAATAAAGGTAGTGAGTATGGACAATTTTCTCAAAAAAATGTTAGCCATGAGGGGAAGGATGCATGTAGATGATAGCTAGTAGGGATAGCTGGATCAAGTAAAGGTTTTTTGAGGATGAGAGAGACATGGAAATATTTGTAGGCATCTGGGGAAGAGCCAGTATATAGGGAGAGATTCAAGGTGAAAGAAAGTAGGGATGATAGGGAGGACAGTCAACTAGGGAAGTTGAGTTTATTGCATTCTCATTCTGAGCTTCAAAATTTGTCACTGTAATTGTGGTTATGTATCGCAGTAGACTTTCTCATGCTTGTGTGTTTATGTGTATGTGTGTGTGTGTGTGTGTGTGTGTGCACGCACGTGTGTGTGCACTTTTACCCCTCCAAATCAGATTCTAATATGAAGCACAAGTTGGAATGCACCAGCTGTTTAACTTATTTTTTAAATTTTGTTTTCATCAGGGCTCGAGTTTTTGTGGAAGGGAAAATAGACTATGGTGAATATGTGGATAAAAACAATGTGAGACGACAAGCCACAACAATCATAGCCGGTGAGAAAGTTATTTCTTCAAAACATTTATCCTTTGGGGAATAAATACATTCTTTATCATCCTCCCTCTTTTGTCCTTTGTAAAAGCTAGAGCATGTTCTGTGGGATTTTGAATTGAGGTTTGGGTATTTTTATGAGGCACTCAGTTAAATACTGTCACTTGAAAGGCACCCCAGAAGAATTTTAAGTCTGTTTTTGCTGAGGAATTTGCACATTTACCAAGAGCTCAGGATAATTAGAGGCAATGTGATATGGTAGAAAGTCTTCGAGTCTGAACACCTGAGTTCAGATCCTGGTTATGACATGTAATGACTGTTAAGACCTTTAACAAATGACTTAGCCTCAGTCTTAGCCTCAGTTTCCCCATCTGTAAAGTTGAGTAAGAATATTTCCTCTCTGTGGTATTGGAAGAAAGCTTTTAAGGTGTTATCTTAAAATGTGACAAGTACTAAGTGTGTAATTGTTGTACATAGAATTCAGTTGAACTTTCACTTTGTGATACTCTTTAGCTAAGGTATAGGTTTATCTCTTTTCTGAAAGTCTTTGACTCTCCACCAAAATAGAATTGAATCATTACTACTAATTGGTAGTATAGTTTCTCTGTTGTGGTGTATTTTTAACACTGATTTTGGTTACTTTTCAGGAATGGGGTAGAATGAGGTAGGAATGAAGGGAAGTAGTTTAACTAACAAAAGGCACTTCCTAGAGATACTGGGAAAACTCAGGTGGATGAATTCTCACTTCCGGATGCTATCTGCCTGTTTAGAACTGAGTTAAAGTTGAAAATTTTTCTATCTGTCTCTGCTTCCTCCTATCACTCCAGTTGATGACTGCAAATAGCAATCATACTGAGACTTATATTACCATCTTTAGCTAAGGGCTTTTGTCATAGGTCATATCTTAAAGTGGTACTGGTGTGTCACCCCTGACCAGAAGATTCAGTCCTTTTTTGCCTTTTTCTTTGAACTAGAATTTCACACTCTTTAGAGGTGACCCACTGATACAGATTTATTTTCCTTCCCATCTCAACATACTGGCTTACACAAATTAACTAACAGATTATTTGAAATGTCACTTTTAACTGTAAGATAGGTATAACTCCACTACCATTTATCAAATCTGTAGAAGTTTTTTTGGGGCAATGAAGGATATAATTCAAGAAAGGGGCTACAAATGTAAATTGCACCTCCTTCAAACCTTAGTAGATGGTTTCATAAATTATTATGACGGAAAGAATTAAGAATCTAGTGACTGACCTTTTGGAAGTATTAAGTACCTGTTAATTCTCCAATGCCTTATTTTTTTCATTCAGGGGTCAAGAAACAGTTTATTAGTTGGGAATTAGGTTAATATTTAGTATGAGATACCTGAATTTTCCTCCTGTATCTTTACCTGCTCTTGTCCATACTCCCAGAGAGCTATCCCATATGACAGCTTTTTAAAATTCTGCAGAACTGATCAGTATAGCCCCCAAAATCTGAGAGTATCTGAAATGTTCCACACCATAGTACCCACTGCTTCTGCAAAGGATGCTTGAAGACTGTTTTTGAAAACTGGGGAGATAGTTGCCCTTTTCTGTTTCTTTGGCAAGCATCTCCCTATTTTGCAAGATTTAAAGATCTGCCCACAGGGTCTCAGTAGTCATATTTGCTAGTTCTTTGAGGACTGTAGCATGTAATTTGTGGCTTGAACTCAATGAAGACAATGTGATTTTTCTACTTCTGGTAGTGAGAACTGAAAATTTTCTTTAAATTAAAGAGTTTTAAAGTTGTATTGATGACTTGTTTTTACACCAGTTGTTTCCCAGTGTACCACCATTGAGTTTTTCCCTGTGATGAAGAAAAACAGTTAAGACAGCAAATCAGCTCTGTGTGTGACAGTGTTTGCAACATTCTCTCCCTTTGGTCCCCTACTGCCTCTTTTGGAAGAGGAAGAACGTCTATTTTTTAGTATTTTTCAGGACCAGTATTTCAGGACTTTTTATCACCTTTCTTTGTCCAGGGGGTCTCTAAAAACTACTTCCTCATACTGTTCTTCCACAGTGGTACCTTTTCCCAGTCAGTCAGGACTGAAGAGGCTTCTGCTTCCTGTAGTTTGCTTTTACTTTTTAACTTGAGGTATAGATTTGTATCTCCCCTTCACATGTTAGCCGTTCTTTTAAAAAGGCCAGTATAGCATTAACTCTCCATGCCTTTCTTTTGATTGTAACTACTTTTAAAAAATAATAAGGCAATTTCAACAGTTTTAAACATGAATAACAACATAGCGACAATTGTTGCTCAATCAAAATAGTTTTCCCCAAGTTCTTTTGGAAGATCTGTTTACTCATCCCAGTGAGCAGTGTATGTGTATAAGAGGGAGTATGACAATGGATAGAGTGCTAGACTTGGGGTCAGGAAGACCTGGGTTTGAATCCTGTTGCTGGCAATCACTGGTTGTGTTATCTTGGACTGGTTAGTTAATGTCTGTGTGTCTCATTTTTTAGTTTGTAAAATGGAGATGATAATACTTACAGAGTTTGCTTCATAGGGTGGCTGTGAGGCCCAATTGACAGACCATATATAAAATAAAGTACACACTTTAAAGTACTTTGTAAATAATGACTGTCATAGACTAATGAAGAAGAGGAGTAAAAGGGAATAGAACTCTGAAAATAATTATTTTCTCTTTGGATTCCTTACAGAAAATATCATATTTCTGAGTGACTACATAAAAGAGAAGGAGTGAAATGGACGACTCATACAAGGCCAGTGTTGGAACATCCTCGTTTTGAAATCATGTATAATCTTTGGAATTGCTTTTGACAAGAATTAAAATACACTTCTACATATATATATAAAATGAACAAAAAGCATATTATTTTTTCTTTCTCTTGTGCTACGAACCTTGATTGACTTTTTCTGTATCTTATTCATTTAAAACCCGGTTTACATTTTTAAAGTATAAATTGTATACACAAGTGTACATATTACTGGATTTGCAGCGGCAATGACTTCAGCCTGTATTATATATGCAAGGCAGTCTGAAAGGTCTAAACAGATGCAGTGAAGTTGAATCCCTTCTATACAGAAACCAACAAGCAACTAAACAAATTTAGAGGCTGTGGCCTCTCTGAACTCATCATTTATATCTTCACGTAACTCAGTATAAATTTTAAACATGCAAGAATGAAAAGTCTCTAGTGCATGGCCTGACAGAAGTCCCTTCAAGATGATAGCTACTTATTAGTGACTGTTCTTGAGTCCTTTATTCAACCATTTTTTCATCTAGCCCATATATCTCCATCTTGTCCACAAGGATTACATGAAAGTCCTAAATGCTGTCCCTTGAATGGCCTGCTCATTTTGTTGGTATATTAACTCTTGAGTAGATCACAACCCTATCTAATTTGTGTATCAGATGGCTGTCCCTTAACCTCATCCTCCTGAGATGAAAGGGTGCTGCTACAACTAGTTTCAGGGTAACTTTTCTGGAGAAGCTTTTGGGGAAGCTTTACTCATACTTCTATAGCTCCTGAGCCCCAGTCATTGTGCTTCTTATTAACAATTATTTTTTACATTGAAATAACATACTTAGTAAACATGTATAATTAACAAATGAGAGCAATAATATAAGCATTCATATGTGTGCATATGTGTGTGTGGGTATAAACAGTCTATATAGATCATACACAGATACACACCTATATACATAGATGAATGTATACCCTCCCATATACACCCCCATACCCACATACTATATTTTGACACTGACCAGTGTCACTATTACAGTCATCTGAAACCCTTAAAGTACAGGAATTTGTTTCCTTCACTCATATGGAAATCTAGTATTACTCTGTTCATTGCTCTCAAGATATTATGTAAACTTTTCTTACATCATCTTCATAAAATAGAGCTGAAAACAACTTCCTAAGATCAGTCTCTTCTCCAGCATCATTCAAGTAATGAGAAGAAACATTTCTTCAGCATCTCTTAAGCTAACAGTTTTAATTGTCTCTTTCCATAGTAGACTCTCACAAAAAGTAAAAAAAAAAACACATCTCTGTGGGGAAAAGCACACAGTACAAATTCTTCATAGATTCTCATGGACTACAGATAAACACATTTATTCTAGAAAGGAGTGCTTCACATCAGTTATTCCCGTCATTACTAATTCTTCCAGCATTCTTTCTGTATCTTAAAGCTGTAGTAACTATCAGCCCCTGGCTGTGATTGCACAGACCTAGTTCCCTATCCCCCCATTGCCTACTTTATTCCTACCCTCAACCTGACTATTCCCAAGGTCCTACTCAATTCTACTCGTATATTCCACCCTTCTTTCTGCAAGGCCTGCTCCTTAGGGAATAAAAATGCTTTCATGTTAAACCATTTCCTTTATCACTCCTTCCATTGTCTTGTGCTTACTGAGACTTGGCTCCCTCTTCATGACACAGATTCCCTGGCCACTCTTTTCCAATACTGGTTGTACCTTCACCCATTCCCCTGACTCACTGGTCAGGGTTGGGGAGTTGGAATACTTCTTGTTCCCCATTGCCACTTTCAGACTTTACCATCATTTGGTGACTTCTCCTTTGAGGTTCATTCAGTCCATATTTGTCACTCAATCAAGATTCTGATAGTTTCTCTATTGACCTCTGGGACATTCTCCTTCAGTGAGTTCAGTGACTGGCTCAAAGTCTTACTTTTTTCTCCAACTACTACTTTTATATATTAGGGGCTTTCAACATTAGTATCGATGTTCCCTCCAACATCTTATTTTCCTAGTTCCTAAGCTTACTTCCCATGGCCTATTGCCCCCCAACCTAAGCTACACCTTGAGCCAGTCATTCCTTCTACATAAGAGATGATGAGAGCTTCAGCCAGGGTGGTCCCTGTGTGATAGAAAAAAGGGGTAGGATGTGAGAAACATGGGAATAGAAGCGAGAAGATTTGGCACCTGACAGGATAAATGGGTTGTGGAAGAATGAATCGAGGATAATGCCAAGATAAAGGCTCCAAATGACTAACATTGCCTCAGACAGCTATCCTTGTTCTACCTCTCCTTATCCCTATGCAACCTAACATCCTTCCTATTTCCTGTTCACCCTGCCTCTCTTTTGTTTCTTAGTTCCCAGACGGCAGGAGGCAAAGGGAAGTCTCGTTTTCCCAGCTGGAAGGAAGAACTAAAGGGTCGTAAATGGAGAAGACCAGCCTTACGTGACTGATGACTGACTGAGTTTGGCAATCTGTTGGCCCCATGTTTGTCCCTGGGCTCCTAAGTTCTCAGGGTTCTGCAGTCTCAGGCAGCTTCCACTTTGATTATTCTTTCAGTCTGTTTGCCACTGGGAAAAACTACACTTCTCACCAGCCCCCTTGCCAGTAAGGAGCTAATGTAGGACAAGTGGACACAGTACATAGCTGACACCTGGGAACTGTCATTTTGTGGAAATCAAAGTTTGTGTTGCTGCCTCAAGGTACAGGGTATAGTGATGCAAGAATTGCTTGGAATGAAGCAAAATAATTACATATAAATATTACAACTTCTTACATCTTTAAAAAACTTTTAATATGTGTTACGTGTTCCTTTCGCCACTTGTTTTACATGATCTGACATTAAGTTCACTAGATTTTGATACATTCTTTAATTCTTATTTATGAAAGCACATTTTTTATCACATTGGATAATAAGCATACCCTTTATAAACAATCCATTTTTCAAAGGCTAGCTATGATTATAGGCCATAGATTTTTAATGAAATTTAAATCATACGCGTTATCAGATTATTGATGCCTCTATCTTGGAGAAATTTCTTAACTTTTGTGACAAGGAATAGTGTAAGGTCAGGATGTAGTATTCCATTTCCATTTGGAAATTTCTATAATTCTGGCACCTACATGGTACATTAGATACAGTGCCAGGCCTGAAGTCGAAAAGACTCATCTTCCAGTGTTCAAATCTGGCCTCTGACGCTTACGTTTTTTAATGATTTATTTTTTTGTTTTTATTTTTCAACATTCACTTCCATAAGATTTTGAGTTTTAAATTTTCTCCCCCTCTCTCTGCTTCCCCCTTCCCAAGACTCAAGTGAGGCACAAAAAGGTAAATAGGAAAGAAAACAGCAATATGTTATTAATAAGGGCAAACTGTTTACATCCCTACAAGGGAAGATGACACTTGTGACTCTTGAGAATTGTATTGTTATTAGCCATTTAAAAGGGGAATACATAGAGGATGTGGGTATAAGTTGACTTTTGATGTGATAAAAAATCTAAGTGGTGAAAAGAGATTATACTAGAAGAAGAAAGGAGGCAGAAAAGGGTAAATTATATCACATTAAAAGGCACGAAAACCCGTTAACAGTAGAGGGAAAGCAGGGAGGGAGATGAGCATTGTTTGAACCTTATTCTCATCAGATTTGGCTCAAAGAGGGAATAACATAATCAGTTAGGTATAGAAATCTAACTTAACTTACAGGAAGTAGGACGGGGAAGGGGAAAGAAAAGGGACAGGCTGGATAGAAGGGAGGGCAGGCTGAGGGAGGTGGTGGTCGAAAGCAAAACTCTAGTGGGGAAAGGGAGAAAAGAGAGAAAAACAAATGGGAAAAAGGATGAAGAGAAAGACACAGATAGTAATAATAACTATGAATGTGAATGGGAAAAACTCTCCCATACAACAGAAGCTGATAGCAGAGTGGATTTAGAACCATAATCCTACAATATGTTGTTTACAGGAAACACATTTGAAGCAGAGGGATACACACAATAAAGGTAAAAGGCTGGAGCAGAATATATTATGCTTCAGTTGAAGTAAAAAAAAGCAGGGATAGCAATCCTGAACTCAGACAAACCAAAAGCAAACGTAGATCTAATTAAAAGAGATAAGGAAGGAAACTACATCCTACTAAAAGGTACCATAGATAATGAAGTAATATCATGACTAAACATATGTGTACCAAATGGTGTAGCATTCAAAGTTTTAGAGAAGTTCGGGGAATTACAGGAAGAAATAGACAGCAAAACTATTCTAGTGGGGTACCTCAACCTCCCCTTCTAAGAACTAGATAAATCTAACCACAAAATAAAGAAGAAAGAAGGAGATGAATAGAATTTTAGAAAAGTTGGATATATTTTACCTCTGGAGAAAAATGAATAGGGATAGAAGAGAATATACCTTTTTCTTGGTGGTACATGACACCTGTACAAAAATTGCCCACGTATTAGGGCATAAAAACCTCACAATCCAATACAGAAAGGCAGAAATATTAAATGCATCCTTTTCAGATTGTGATGCAATAAAAATTACATGTAACAAAGGGCCATGGAAAAATAGACTAAAAATTAATTGGAATCTAAATAACCTAATCCTAAAGAATGAATGGGTCAAACAACAACTTATAGAAACGATCAATAACTTCATCCAAGAGAATGACAATAATGAGACAACATACCAAAACTTAGGGGATTCAGCAAAAGTAGTTCTTAGAGGAAGTTTTATATCTGTAAATGCTTACATGAATAAAATAGAGAAAGAAGAGATCAATGAATTGCGTATGCACCTAAAAAAGATAGAAAAAAAACAAATTAAAAATCCCCAATTAAATACCAAATTAGAAATTCTGAAAACCAAAGGAGATTAACAAAGCTGAAATTAAAAAAAAATACTCTTCAACCAATTGATAATATTAAGAGCTGTTTTTTTTTGTTTTGTTTTTTGTTTTTTGTGAGGCAGTTTGGGTTAAGTGACTTGGCCAGAGTTGCACAGAGTAAGTATCAAATGATCAAGTGTCTGAGGCTGGATTTGAACTCAGGTCTTCCTGACTCCAGAGCTGGTGCTCTGTCCACTGCGCCCTAGCTGCTCCTAAG